TCCACCTCATCTCCCTTTCCCCTTTGCCTTAAGAACACCTCATCCTTCTAGTACTTTCCAAGAGCTGTGGCTCTGTCCCATGCACCCTCTAGCCTCACCTCCTGACCCTGCAGAGAAGGCCACCAAGCAGGTCATCACTGGCCATACAGCTGGAGTCCCAAAGGCCAGGAGGCTCAGAGTGTCAGGCGACGGCCTGAACCCAGCCCCACTAACTCCCACACAGCCTCTTCCCTTTTGGTTAACCAAGTAAATTCTCAGGGGCAGTGGGGTCCTTTCTGGGTGACAGAGGGGAGGGGGAGGGGCTCAGTGTCAGTTCACAGCTCTCCTCAGGCTCCAGGCCACACAAAAGCTCTCCACAATGACCGGTTGACAGCCGCCCTCCTATAAAATGCCGCAGTATCTGGGCCCTATCAAAGGCCCATTCAGCTCACTCACACTCTCCCTGACTCACACAAGGGCCTGACTAAACAAATTAGGGACATGGCATTTCTCTCTGCTCCTTGCATTCCTGGCACCCCGTCAGGGGATTCAGTACCCCTGGTTTCTAGAACACTGAAGGCTGGTGCAGGGATGAGTGCCTTGTCCCCCAGGGGGCTGTCACCCAGAGGGCGGCTCACAGTGGCCAGCTGCAAGCTGCCACTGCACCCAGCAGGCAGAGGGTGGCCAGGGCGCAGGATGGGCCAGGGGGGCTTGGGCTATGTCGGGTTTTGTGTGCTTACACTTGTTGGTGAGGTGGGCTGTTGGAACCGCAGCTGGGCCTGGGCCCTGGCCAGCTTTGGCTCGCTCCCACCTCCCTTATCTCCCCCTGGAGCCCCCCTAGCTCTCTAGGACACCAGGTTGCTTTTGAGCATGACCTGGGCCCACACACATGGCCTTCTGGGTATCTGGAGGTAGGGTGTGTGGGGGTGTCTAAGTCCTGGGTTCTCGGCCAGAGGCAAATCATGTCCTTTCTGGGCCTGTTTCCCCATTGTAAGGTGAAGGGGCTGGACCACAGGAAGCAGGTTCTTTCACTTCTGACATTCTAGGCTAGGGATCAGGGCTGGAAGCTGGCCTTGTCCTGGGGGCTCAGGACACAGCCTGTGGGACTGCGGGACCTTTGGTCTCTCGTGGAATCTGAAAACAGCCTGAGCAACAAAGGGGCTCTTTGTTTTTCTGAAATAGTGTTAAGGCAACACTTACACATGAGCAAATGAGCTGGGGGCTCTTGAATTATCACCTCGGCACCAAACCTCAGAAAGAGAGGGGAACCGAGGAGGCCTCCAACACCCCACCTACCCTGTGAGGTCTGAAGTTTGCCCAAGTCGTTAGGGGCTGTTGAGTCAATCCCGACTCACAGCGATCCCATGTGACGGAGTACAACTGCCCTAGGGTTTCC